GCTGCCTGATTTACTCTTTCTGTTCTGGAAACCAGGAGCAAAAGAAAGTGATAAATTGTTGAGGGCCTTGGGATTAAAACAGCACGGTGGAGTTAAATGAGCTTCTGAGAGCTTCTTGGGAATCATCTCCAAATGCTGAAGTGCCCAAGTGCTGCAAGTGAAGAAAGAGGGAAATACCTAAAGAACTGCCTGAGGCAAAGAAGTTGACTTTCAGCACAGCAATGGTGGTCACTGAGCTAGCGGAAACATACTAAAGATTGAAAAAAAAAAAAAAAGATTAACTTTTAGGTATGCGGAAACATACATTTTTATGCTTTTATTGTTTTTTTCTAGTACTCTGTATACCCTGTACCTTTGGGTGGAATAATAAATAATGCTTTCTTTGGGGAAAGTGCAAGCAAGTTAGCTGTTGCCATAGGGCAGAAAGGGAGGAAAGCTTATGAAGTTACAAGCAAGTTGGGATTTTCTCTTCAACATGAAGAAGAGGGAGTTGCAGCTTGGTGGTGGAGGCAGGGAGTGACTGGTCCAATAACAAACCTAGTTGCTTGGGAGGTAAACTTGAGTGTGGATTAAAGGCTGAAAAGATCAACTTCTATAGTTGCAGCTGTGACAGTCAAGAATGGATTGATGCTGTCACTGAGCTTTTTCCTCTGTGTACTGTTAAGGCTAGCTTAACAGACTCATTGTCTAGCAAGTATTGTCCTCAAGGGATAGTCTCCAATCCTATTATAATGATGTCAGCTATTGGCAAACTGTACTTGATGGAGAAACTAGCTTCTTCTCATCTCATTTATATCCTACATAATTATTCTGGTTATTCTTGATTCACATCTGTGCCTGTGGGAAGTGAATCAGTCAGTGGATTGAGGCTTTTTTTGCTTCATGCTGGAGTTTAAGATCCTTCCTTTGTTCCTAACTTTATCTACTCATTTAAATGAGATACACATGTTTTCTAGTCCAGATACAGGCTTTCCTAAATGTGAAATTCAAAATGTAGATCCAAATTTTACAAATTCAGATTCAGCTTTTGTAGGTATGGTAGTGAAAAGGGGCAACTCCGTGAAATAATACAAGGTCCTGATGTAGTCCATTCAAAGTATTATATCTATTGAATCAATCACCCTAAACCCAGATTAATTTAAAAGAACAGACTATTTACTTGAATTAACAATAAAAACTAGTTATCTTCAGAACTGAGTAGCTTTATTTGGCTTATTCACTACAAAACAATTGGATAGATTTAGATGTGGTTTAGAAGTGAGACAGTATAAATTTAAGGCAATGAAAAAAGGGAATCCTAATTTCCAAACTGTGTATACTATGTAAACAGTATGGTTACAGTACATATTATTTCTGAAGCATGGAAATACCCTAGTGTCTTTAGCTGACCTGACCTTTCATCAGTCATTTTCAGATGGGCTTTATTGCATTCAAGAAAGGGAATATCACAAAGTAAACCCCAAAATAACCAAGTTATAAACAGCTGGCCTGTCTGATTCATAGAACATTCAAGCCTGTCAGATTCATAGAACATTCAAGCCTGTCATGTTAAGTTCATAGGACATTCAGTCTCTTCATATGGTAACCAGTGCTCTGAGCTTCTCAGAAGTTAAATATGAGAAGCCTATGGTGGTGTACTACTCATTCAATTTACCAAACATACTTTTTCAAATACCTGTATCACTTTTCTCCAGCAAGATGCCATTATTTTTCTCAGGTGTTACTAATTTTATTTCTGACAATTATTTTATTTTTTAATTTTTTAATTTTTATCGAAACATTTTAGCTGCAGGAATACATCCCAACACCCACAGATGTCATTTAGTGTTGAAATTCAAGCACTGTATGCCTACTGCCAGAGATGACACCCACTCACTAGGAATATTTATGCAGCTATATGGGCAAGGCCAGAACTGTGAACATACCTCATCCTCAAGAACACTCTGGCTTAGTGTTCTCAGCAGCTGCTCTGAGTCATAATGGGCAGATATCCTAAGAGTTTTCACCATGCTTTGGGGCAAAGACTGGTTGTATCTCACTACTTGAAAAGCTCCAGCCTGCCCACAAGAATAGGGAAGAAAATGTGTCTCTCTCACAGCCCGTGTTGCAGGAGAAAGTTGGCTGCATCAGCCTGAAAACAAAGAACCAGAGATGAAAGAGTTTGTTCTTTCTTTGTTTGGATGGTAATGATCCCCAGGGCTTAAATGGGATGCTCTTCACTTGTTTCCTGCCCTAACTACCGTTGCTCTGAAGTTGAAACCAACACGTGTTGCATGATTTTTTCCCACTTCTGTGTCCAGAGGGTGAATAGGGTATGGTCTAATATTACATTTTTCTAGGCAAAGGGGAGATGAGACAGAGTGGCTTCTTTCTTAAATGTTGGTGCTCTTGGTTATATGTTAGAGAAGATTTATACTCAAAGAGAAGTTTATTAATTGTGTTATAAAAGACTCTTAGCTATCCCAAAACATGATTCTGAAGTTGACTAAGAAGCCATTACAGAGAACGTGGCTGTATTGGGTTTGCGTGGCAAGGTTTTGGTAGTGACAGGACTACAGGGATGGCTTCTGTGAGAAGCTGCTAGAAGCTTCCCCTGTGTCCGATAGATCCAATGCCAGCCGGCTCCAAAACAGACCTGCTGCTGGCCAAGGTCGAGCCCATCAGGGACAGTGGTAGTGCCTCTGTGACAACATATTTAAGAAAGGGGGAAAAAGTTGCTGTGCAAAAGCAATTGCAGCTGGAGTGAATGAGAATATGTGAGAGGAACAACTCTGCAGACACCAAGGTCAGTGAAGAAGGAGGGGGAGGAGGTCCTCCAGGCACCGGAGCAGAGATTCCCCTGCAGCCCCTGGTGCAGCCCATGGTGAGGCAGCTGTGCCCCTGCAGCCCATGGACATCCACAGTGGAGCAGATTTCCACCTGCAGCCCATGGAACCAGAGCAGGTGGATGCCCGAAGGAGGCTGTGACCCTGTGGGAAGCCCACACTGGAGCAGGCTCCTGGCAGGACCTGTGGCCCCATGGAGAGAGGAGCCCAGGCTGGAGCAGGTTTGCTGGCAGGACTTGTGACCCCGTGGGGGACCCATGCTGGAGCAGTCTGCTCCTGAAGGACTGCACCCCGTGGAAGGGACCCACGCTGGCGCAGTCTGCTCCTGAAGGACTGCACCCTGTGGAAGGGACCCACGCTGGAGCAGTTCATGAGGAACTGTAGCCCATGGGAAGGACCCACATGGGAGAAGTTCATGGAGGACTGTTTCACATGGGAGGGACCCCACGCTGGAGCAGGCGAAGAGTATGAGGCATCCTCCCGGAAGGAGCAGCAGAGATGACGTGTGATGAACTGGCCACAACTCCCATTCCCCGTCCCCTTGTGCTGCTCAGAGGGAGGAAGTAGAGAAATTGGGAGTGAAGTTAAGCCTGGGAAGAAGGGAGGGGTGGGGGGAAGGTGTCTTAAGATTTAGTTTTTATTTTCTCATTACCCTACTCTGTTTTGATTGGTAATAAATTAAGCTAATTTCCCAAAGTCAAGTCTGTTTTGCCTGCGACAGTAATTGGTGAGTGATCTCTCCCTGTCCTTATCTCGACCCATGAGCCTTTCATTATATTTTCTCTCCCCTGTCCAGCTGAGGAGGGGTAGTGATAGAGTGGCTTTGGTGGGCACCTGGTGTCCAGCCAGGGTCAACCCACCACAGCAGAATAGGCAGTATTTTTTAGTATTTGCAGTTTTGTAAAAGTTGATGCTTTGCTCATAGCATTTGTTGCACAAAAAGACCTTTGTATAAATGAGAGCAGGTCATTAACTGCTAGAAGAAAATTAAGCCTATTTGCTATTGATATATAGTAGCAAGTACCAGATTTGCACGCATTGTTATACCAGTGTTTAGGGTAGCCACTGCATTCTTCTAAACTAAAAGCTGGTGTTTGGTTTCTGGATATCCTTCTCCTTCTTTCCGTGGACTGGGGACCTGCCAACCTCAATGGAAGGAAGGGATTTGAAATGCTTACTTATTACAGGCCACATTTCCATACAGATATGTTTGGATGGGCCACTGCAGCTCTTGTTTGCAGTCACCCAGAACACTTCTCTTTTCTTTACATATTCTGTTGTGGAAGCCACCTAATTCTGTTTGGTATCTTTTGTAATCCTTGTGGCAATTACAGCAGTTGTGTGTATGGTGATGCATTGAATGTTGGTGTTAACACAGACATTTAATTAGAATGGGGACTACCAGACCAATTTCTATAATATAAAATATTTTAGCTGGAATAGAGAAGACATCCTGAGGCATGGCCATGTGCCAGCTCTCAGTATTATTGAGAGTACAAACCAGTAAGAGGTAGGAACTTTTGGTACATGAAAAGGTGAGTGTCACTGAAAAAACATTGTCTTAGTAAATGCCAGTATTTTAATGGACACAACAGTACTATGCATGGAATAAGTGGGTACGCACTACCACTGCCAAAAAAATATGTAAAAAAATCTTGCCTCTAGGTTTATTCTATGTACTGCTTTCCCACTGGGAATCTTGGTAATGGAAATGTACAAAGTTATCATTAATAACAGTGAATTTCATGAATATAATCACTGTCACTACATGCTTAGGATATAGATGAGTTATACAGTATATCTCTATCATTGATCATGTATGTGGGAACCATTAAAATATATAAAAAAAAATTAAATGATTAATCACATTCCAAACAGCATGAATATAATGAATATAAATATTATGTGTGAGGGAGAAGGAGTTGGTTAAAAAAAAATCTTTGTTTCTGATCAAAATAACAGAAGAAATATCATTTATCTTGTCACCTTTAACTTTGAATCAAGTCTTATAAGTTTGAGCAAATTAACTGCAAACTGATAAGATTTTAGTGCAACAGGTGTGCAATTAAGGCACAACAAAAGAGGCCTTATTAGACTCAGAATGTCATTTGGAAGTTTTAATTGCCTTTGCAAGCTAAAGGAAAGTTCATTCTGAATGTTTTACTTATCTTCTAGGAACCATAATTATGTCAGAAGAATTGCAAGATGCTTTAGATAGTATGTATGATGCTAGAATTCCAAAACTATGGTTTAGGATTTCCTGGGAGTCAGCTACTTTAGGATTTTGGTTTACTGAGCTTCTTGAAAGAAACCAGCAATTCAGCAGTTGGCTGCAGGATGGCCGACCAAATCAGTTCTGGATGACAGGATTCTTTAATCCACAGGTAAGACTGCCAGACTGGTCTTTCTAACGCCTATGTAACAGTTAAATTAGACCTTGAGAGAACTTCAAGCTGACTCAATCTTGACTCTACAAAGTGTAATCTAAATTCAATTTTTGCATAAATGTAGGATAAATTAACTTCAACATCTATTGAAGAAATTGTTGCTAGACCAAAATAACGTTACTGAAATAATGGAATGCATCTTCTGGTTGCTTTTATTATAGCGTGGAAATTGGGTAGATACATCTTTTCACATTTCAATGTTATGCTCCTTTTTTCCCCTCCTCTGTTACAGTAATCTGTTTTTCATTCATTGTATGAAAATCCCTTTGAGTACAAAACAAGGTAAGTTTCAAAACTTTGACATAGGAAGAAGAGATTTGGACTTGGCTCTCAATCCTTGCAAATCAGTTCCTTGAAATGGAAGTTTTGTTATTTATACCACCCCAGAATTGTGCCAGACTTGGTCTGCAGAGACATATAAAAAATACAGCCTCTCGCCTGCACCATCTAAAATAAAAACCTGGCACAAAATGAAACACAAAAAAGGGAACAGCTGAGAACAGAGTTAAAAGAAGTAAAGTATACATACCTAGATGATGTGTAGTTTCTTTGCACAGCCATCCACATTCATTAAAGCTTTTTATGATTCACAGATGTTTGTGGGATGTAGGAGTTGTGGAAGTGAGTCATTGTGAGAGTATCCAGCCAACAGGTTTCTGTGAAGCCTTAGGAAAAAGCTATTTTAAAGATCTATTTTAGTCTCAGTACTTGTTAGCAATGCAAAAGCTAGCTGAAACAGCTGCCTAGAATAGAGAAAGCAACAGTGGCAAATATTCTTTAGGACTACTGCTGGGAAATATCCATCTATCGTCTATCCTGTCTGTGTCAGCTGTCTGCCGACACCACTTATAGCATGGAAGTGTGCTCACAGAATCCCTGAGCAAAGGGTTCCCGAGCACAAGTATGAGGGAGAGGAGTAGGATTTTTAATAAAATGATTGTGCTTCCATACTTGGTTTGTTAGCAACACATCAATAGTGGCCATCTAAAATATTCCTAAGTAAATTTTGCAATGACCAGGCTGGATGCAATCCTAATAGGCTTTTGGGTTTGTTGGTGTTTGCTTTTGCACTACAGATGAGCAAGAGCTGAGACAGATTTTGTACTGGCCATTTTAGCTGGCTTTTTGCGCTTTGGGGTTGTGTCAGTTCTGAAATTTTGCCAGCCCAAATTGAGCATCCTACATTTTTTTTGATCCATACATCTGGATTTCTCAAAAAAGCTGCCAAATAATCAGAGTAGAATGTCCCCAAACAACTTGTGACTTAATAGACCATAGTAAGTGAGAAAGCCTCCAGAAATAGAAAAATGAAACATTTCATAACACGTAGTTCTAACATAAGTTCATAGTATGCAGAGAAAAAAATCCGAGAATGAGATGTGCTTACCTGATTTAAAGATTTTTTTTGTGCTGACAATCACAAGCTTAAGAATCGGTTGGCTATTGTTATAGTCTCCATTTTCTGTAACCCAGACTGTGGGAGTGGCTCATTCTATAAGCAATTCACCTGAGCAAAGACTCATTTTCTATTTAATTAACTATTATTTTGGTAATAGTCATATTGCTGTGTTTAAAATCAGTATTTCATATGTTAAGAAGATTGATTTTCATCTTCTCAAGGAAGTTGAGGTGGTGAAGTATTAGTGCTGCAGTTCTAATGGCTTGTTTGTAGTACCTGAGAAATTGTCAGAAAAATCCTTTCATTTGTGAGATGAAATGCAGCTTCTAAGTAATTTGTAATTTGCCTGCTTGCATAGATCTCACTGTTTGCTTTATAGTCAATGGATAAATGCCATGGATAACACAAGACAATAAAGTAGATTTATAGCAGTGGGAGAATGAGGCATTCTGGCAATAAAAAATAATATAGGACCTGACTCTGCCTTCTCTTGGACTGTTTATACACTAGGATAAATTCCGTAATTTCACAGAAGTTAATCTTTATTTATCGTGATACAAATGAGAGCAGGCTCAGGCTTCTTTGTAAAAGAAACCTGATTCCATCTGTGAGTCTGCATTGGGCCAAGATAACTGGGGTGAACAAAACAAGTGCCATGAATTTTCTTCCCTCCTGGAAGTTAGTCTGATGTTACTAGATTTTTTTCCTCAAAAAACTTGACGCTATGCATATCTCATTTCTACCTCCCCATTTCCATATTGTGGCTGATACTGTTTTATTGTTTCCTTGTTTGCATTGCTGTAGCCAGTTGCTGTCACTTGTCCTGTATATGGATGATGTTAAGCCCTGTGAGGCAGAACTGTCTTTCTGGTTGTATAGTACTTAGCATAATGAACCCTCAGCCTATTTCTAAGACCCTTACTTAGATGCCAAAGCAATGTGAATACTAGTAAGAATATGAAGTACAATGCCTCTATTCCTCAGTGCCCACTTAATTCTAGTAAACCTGCCATAATTTGCTTGCTGTAGAAATTGTAAAATAAGTGACAAAAAAGGAACCTCCTAAGCAAGGTAAAGGAGAGAATATGATTGTGAAAGCAATAGAGTTGACTGATTTCTGTATTTCTCGTCATAGCTTCCATGGACACCTGTTTGTCGCTCACTAGAAGGTTCAGAGTTAGTTTGCATGGGTTGTTACAAGGAAAAGGGACAAAGCTTTAGCAGCCTTTGTGAGCAGGCCAGGGAGAAGTTCAGGAAAAGGCAGGTGAAGAAAGAAGAAATAATTTTCCTTGTTTCTGAAATTTCAACATGCCCCCTCCCCCCCAAAAAAGCCCCAAACCCCCACAAACAAACAAACAAACAAAACCAGGGCAAAGATTACCAGAAATCAAAACAAATGTCATGGCAAGTGGTCCATTATGTCCCTGACAGAGGTTTTGAGGGGGAGCCAAGCCCTCAGCCATACAGTGGCACCTCAAGCCACTTGATTCTTTCTTGCTGTTTATTGTGCCGTTCACCTGCTCTGGGATACCCAGCTGGGCCTCCAGCTCACAGCTGTAATCTTTAAACACTGTCTAGGACTCATTCAAATCAGCAGATAAGTGTTGCAAGTCCCACTGCAGACAGCATATAGGTCTTGCCATCTTTGTAAGAATAGTCTGCTATCTAAATCTTATCCCCAAAGACAACTCATAGCTCTGAGCTTACTTTTATTCTAGTGTTTCCACAGTGCCTTTGAACTGATTCCCTTAATGCAGTCATTGCTCTGTCCTGTCCTCTTCAGGCTCTTCTTTCTTTAATATTTCAGTTTCTCTGGGATCCAGTAGCCCTCTGGGGCCTTCTGGCAGTGAACACTTCGTGTATTTTAAGCTATTGGTTCTAGTATGTTTCTACAAATTAAAATTCCACAAATTAACTACAAGGATTCTGCTTTCATTTAATGACATTTCTGATAGAAGAACTTGGCCTTTAATCCTGTCTCCCTTAGCTATATGCTAGAGTTCTCAACTACTTCAAAAGCAATTACAATTATCTGTGCTATCACAAAACCTCTTTCAAACACTTGTCCTGGGGTCTCTGGAATGGTATTAATGAGAAGCCACCAATGTCAGTTAACCAAAACATCTGAATTCATGAATGTCATCTCATGTTCTCATAACTTAAAGGGTATTGCGTAGCTACAAAGTGCTTAGCACTTGCAACAAGCACTACAGTCCCAGCAGCCAGAGACTGGCCCCTGCATTCAGTAGACCAACATGCTAATGTTTCTGCATCTGACTTCTTTCCATTCGTTTGTCCCTAACAGTAGCTCAATAGAGCATCCTGCACTGTGAATACTGAAGAAAAATAAAAAGCTTGTTCAATTCCACTCATTGCTTCTGATTTCTTCCTAGCTATAATACCCACTGTGGCTCTGTATTCCCCCATCTCTGACTCAAGATACCTTCTTTCTCTGCTCTGAAATCTGTCCTGAAAATTCTTCCTTCCTAGTTGTCCTTCTCAGGAAGTCCCTCTTGCTCTTGCATCTTCAATTTTTGTGTTTTATTCAGTCATCTCCCAGCTATGCAAATGGGTTTCTGTAAGGTAAAATAAGGTGTACATCTACAGCATGTCCACTGAAAGTGCAAAGCAGTCTACCCTCCTGTCTCTTAGGACTAAGGTACTTCCCATGTGCTGCAGCGTGCATGCACACAGACAGTTATATGTGAGAAGCTAACCAGCATCTTCAGACTGGCTTGTCTTGTGATAGCTTGTACCCATATCATGGGATTGTAGCTCTTTAGAACAGAGAGTGAGTTTCATTCTGTGCTCCTGAAGTGCTGTGAGTTTATCTTGCTGGTGTCTACAATAGTACGTTATTGTAGTATATTAAGGCTTTGCACTGAGCAAGGTGACAGAGGCATTTCACTATTTAATTGCATGATTCCAGTTTGTACTTCCTTTGTATTCTGTAAAATGCTTCATGATTTGTTGACTGAAAAGCAATTTTACAGTGTTGGTATAAGAAAAGGTGAGTAATATAGCACGTGAAATACCAGTGTTATTTGTGGCTTAGCAATTACCTATATTTGGAACCTCACAAAACACATTAATCTGGCAGCCTTGTAAACCTCTCTCCATCTGACTGGTTGTAAAGTAGGCATGTGAGGTAAGGTGAGTTATACATGCAGTTTCCAATATGTTAAATAAGCCAGTTTGGTAGCTGCTTAGCACCAACACACGCACACCAAGTATATAAGAATGCATGGTACTGGGAAAATGTAGGAAAGCACTGGATTTACACAACTGAATTTAGTTTTGTATGCAGATAAAATCCTGTGGGATGAGGTTTTATACTGCTGATGTCACTATTATATAGGGAAAAACAGTTTGAAATGGGTAAGTTCAAGTATTTTAACACAGTCTATGTCATATTCAATCTCCTTAGGGATTCCTAACTGCTATGAGGCAAGAGACAACTCGCATGAATTTAGCAAAAGGGTGGGAACTCGACAGTGTTGTTTTACACAATGAAGTGACCAAGATGATGAAAGAAGATGTTGCTGGCCCTCCTCCTGCTGACATTGGTGGGGTTTACATACACGGCCTTTTCCTCGAAGGTGCAGGTTGGGACCGCAGGAACAGTAAACTGGTCGAGTCAGCACCAAAGGTAAGGATCAAATTAGCGTGACTGACTGTGGCATAACATGGTGTGCTCAGAGAACACCAGGAAGTATTTTGAGTGCCTGCAGCAGTGGTTTCACAACAGGTTTTAAGAGGGTAAAACACTAGCAGGGCTGGGAAGAGGACAGAGTGTTTAGCCATCAGAACCAAACAAGAAGACTTCCATCAGAAAGTGAATTTAGGATGTGCTGCACTACAGCAGACCAGATGCCAGGCTCCTTGGCTTCAGGAGCCCTAGAAGCACAGCTATGTTTGAATAAAATAGTGCAACCCATAGTCAGCCTTCTTTTGACTGACCAAGTGGGACCCTATCACAACTTCCAAAGCCCAGGACTGATTTTGAGGACAGCTGTTGTGGAGGTCAGTGTTTGGATGACTAGAAATCCCTGGCATTTGTTTTTGAATAGGAGGAAGAGTATTCGTTCTGGGCTTATGCTCGGTTATCCATGCATAGAGTTACATTTTACTGATGTGACTAAGCAGATTTAAAACCTAGCTATGGAGTAGTTATTAGATGCTGTGGTCACTGCCCAGGGAAAGCTGCCATTGTCTGCACTGGTAAACTTTTCCCAAACCTGTGCTAACTGGCCTGGAATTGGAGTTGAGGTAATTCCTCTCCATAGGTAAAACACTTCTGTGTCTGGCTGAGAGCAAACTTTTCCAAACCAAGCCCTGCCAGCTGTAGCTTCTGGTGACAGCTGTTGCCTGGTTTGTCAAAAGACACCTTCAAACATGGAGTTTACTCAAGTGCTCTGGAGTGTTCAGCAAGCCTCCATGTTGCTCTTGGGTTTAGGTCTTTTTTTCCCCCCTGCCAATGAATATAGTGCTGGGAGACCTGAGGGGATCTAGTCTGGATAAACACCCAAGAGGCACCTTGGATCTTTGAAGCTCCACTGCCAGCAGTGCAGAGGTAACAAGGAGGCTTGCTAAATGCAGCTTGGCCTTTGTAGCTCCAGTCCTGCTGTTCAGAGAACAGGAGGTGGGGAAAGAATGGGGAACACCAGCCAAACGGACAAAGGATGGGAAAAAAGACAGTGGTCTCTCCCCCTCCTAGAGCAACCCTGTCATTTTTCCACCTACTTCCATGGCATGCAGTTTTCCAAGTTTCTGCTGTTTTCTTTTCCTTCCAGGCTTCTTGACGTCTGTTGTCCCTGAGCTGCCACTGGCTTAAAGTTAGGGTCAATGTAGGAGTGAGCACAGGCCTTGTGTTCTTGTGTGTACCTCTGCTGAGGTGCTGATGCTTTTGCTGAAGGCCATCGCTGAATCTAGTTCCAGCATTTGGAGTTCAGACACCCTATCCTGCTTCTCTAATGCTGAGTCCCATGTCTCTTTTAACATTCTCAGGTGCTGTTCACAAGTCTTCCTGTAGTCCATGTGTATGCTGTTAGCACAACAGCACTACATGACCCAAAGAAGCAACAAGGAAGTGTGTACTCCTGCCCTGTCTACAAAAAGCCCCGGAGAACAGATCTGACGTACATTTTCTCTTTGTATCTGAAAACAGTGCAGAATCCCGATCATTGGACTTTACGGGGGGTTGCACTGCTCTGCAATTCAAAATAAGGACCAACAGATAGCTATAAAGAAAGAACCACCTAGGAAGATTAATATGCAGCCGATAGGACTTCCGTTGTTATTGGCAAAGTGGTGGCTAACTTCTCATAGGGGTATGGGAATTAACAAGTGACACAGAGAGGTTGTGTTAATTACACATAGATGTTTACCCTGTTCACAGCAAAAATGCTAAATATATTTAACCTGGGGATATCAGAGGGAAAACAGTTGCAGGTGTAAAATTTGGCCACTGTTACAAAGCAAGTGAGACTATAATCAACTAGCTTGCTCATAATGGAAACACTAGGAAAAAAGTGCTTTGATAGTGACAACTGCTCTAACATTTATGGTGGTCCTTTTGTAGATGTTATCTTTTCTTTTTAATACAAGACTTCTTCATAATATGATATAATTCTTTTTAAATTCAACTTTGTAGTTAAAAACTTAGCATTAGTAAAGCTGTAATGACAAATTAATTAGACGCATGGTAAAACTTTATCTCTATGTATTCCAATGCACAGTTCCTTCAATTTTGCATTTGTAAACTTACTGGGTGGTTTTGCAAATGGATGCTACCATTTCCTTGAATAGTCACTTGTTTATGCTAACGGCCATAGAAGTTGTACAAACAGGCCAGTTTATCTTTGCACAAGCAGTGGCCTTTGCACATATTAACTCATTTCTAAACCTATATCCCATTATAAGGAAGATGTGCACACCCCCAGATACTAGTGAAAGAAAAGTTTTGAAACTCTTCTCAGAGTAAACACATCTGAACACCAGTTTGGCTGTCTTAGTATTTGTATTTGCTCCTTTGGCGTTAGTGCCTGAATCCTGCAAACTCAAACCTCTTAACTGTTTTTATTCTGTATTTTGCATCAGTTTGGTAAAAAAAAAAAAAAAAAAAAAAAAAAAAAAAAAAAAATGTAAACACACAGAGGCCATTTCTAGGAGTAGATTCACCTGAAATGGTTGAAGTAATTTTTGTTTGTTACCACCATTGCTGTCTATGCTGTAATTGAAGAGTGATTGCTACTTCTTTCTTAATAGACAGCTATTGGCAGAAAATACGTTTGGCTTTTTTTCACTAACACAAATTCAAAGCAAAAGAAATTGCTGTTGGATGTTACGGGAGAAGGACTTGCAGCGAGTGCTTTGTTAATCACTTTTTTCTCATTGTAAACACCTTCAATTTTTGTATGAGCACTTCAATTTCTTTTCAGCTGGTGTCTAAGAAAGTAGTTCATCCTTTCCCATAACCAGTTTTACTCCGCAGTTCGCAATTGCAGGGCTCTTTCCATGAGGAAGTTTAATATTCACACTCCCACCCACAACTAAGCAGAAAGTGCCAAGTTTCTTCTTGGAAAACAGAGCAGACGGGGACAGGGTCCCTTTCTCCCACTGAGCTGGGAGCTGCACTTTTTTCACACGCAGTGCTGGCGAGATTATCTTACCAAGTGAAACCACCTATGCAAAAAATATACACCAGGCCTCCCTGCAGTACAGCTGTACATCAACCGATTTCATTGAGAATTTTGTTTCTGAGAAGGGTAAAGAATTTGGCTTCAAGATCTTTGATCTTGGAAATTATGAAAAAGATAAGGGGGACTTCAAGCAGCAAAAGGCTGTGCTGTCGTATAGAAATTGAGGTTATAAACTGCAGTGTTCTTCCCATCCCCTACCTGTATAAGGGGATACGGAGTAAGTTAACTTTGATCTCTTGGTACATGTAAAATTTGAGTCAGTAACATTGATAATAACTTAAAATGAAGAGTGTACATTGAAATACTTTGCACACCTGAAGAACTTACTACTTGCTATGAAAACAAATCATCCTCTGAACAATTGAAGTCAGAAGTAAACATGAAAAAAATACATATTTGAAAGAGGTTACATACGGTGCTACATGCTAAGCTTCATGGAAACTGCATCACTTCCTTTCTTGGTCAAGTAAAGTGAGAAAATCAAATGCTATATAAAGAAAATCTATAGGCAATTATGTTCTAGCACTTAGTGTTCTGCTGTATAAAAATGCAAAGAAATAGCTTCTTTGAACTTTGACTTTTCCATTTCAATAACTAAACCCTCTTTGTCAGTTTAGGAAAATGTCAAATCTTGCAGAACAGAATGCAGGCCATATTACAGAAGAAACAGACTTATCATACAGTATTTCACTGAAGATAGCTACAGTTTTATACAGAACTGGAAGAACATACAGTTGCCTGGTTCTAGAAAAGACTTCCTATAACTAGTAAAAACCCAGCCAAACAAAAACTCCAATCTATCCTATAAGCAAAACCTTTTTTTCTTTTTGCACGTAATTACAATAGAGTGGAGAGGTACAGTTTACTGTTGAAAGAAATGTCTTCCCCTCCCCATCTCCCTCATCCTGCCCTTCCATTCAGTGGAGTTGCTGCTTCCAATCTGACAAGATTAATTTGATTTGAAATGTCACAGACATTGTGTAACATTGACCTTCCCAACCAGTGTTCCCTAGTTACTATCGCTAAAGATGTTTCACTTCAGATGTGACGTACACCAGACTAAATGAAAGAACTGGCAGGCAGAATATTTGGAATCAAACTAATTATATTTAAATTATAGATTAACAATTAGCTGGGAGTCCTCAAACAATGTGTATATATAACCAAGTTATGCTCTGCTGTTAAAATGAATCTGAGATATTAAATACAATCATACAGCTTTTGGCAATATTGTACAAGTTTCACACAGATAGTAATGACTGACATTGCTTTAGATAAGTGCTTTGAAGGCAACTCCGTTTAAGAATGAAGAAAGCAATACAGTCCTGCACCCCATGTCAGCGTAGCGGTCCTGTTTACAAACATATCTGATGTCAGGGCACTGGCTCCTGAGTGTTGCAAATAAACAGCATTCCATACTCCAAAGGGTGTCTGTCTCATAATCCCTGAGGCTGTGGCTGGTCGATAACAATGATGATAGGAGACAAAGAATTGGGTTATGGATTGGCCCTGTACTTCAGTGGCTTTGTAGAATAGATTTTAATTGCAGTGAAGCTCAGAAAAAGCACAGAGAATGGAAAACAAAAAATTCCCTTGTCTGGTCAGTTATGTTCATGAGCCCTATGATCCTCTGGATAGAGTAACAATTCTTTAAAAGATCTTGAGGAAACTTCAGTTACAATATCCTATTTTTTTTCTCTCTTTATCCAGAACTCATGCATTAATCTTACTCCTCTTTTACTGCTTCATACCTTTGCCTTTCTCACAATCACATCTTTCCAGAACATGAATATGATACCTCATTCTCTTTTTCTCCTGCTGTTCCATATTTAATGTCTTCTGCTTTTATATTCTTGCTCTATAAGTGCAGAAAATGCATTGCTTACGTACATCAAACCTTCCTTTTCCAGAACTCTGGAAATAATCTTTAGTCATTTCAGGAGCTCCTCTTTTCCACTGAGAAGAAACACAATTTAGTCAAAAACCTATCATTCCTGCCACATTTTGTCACACCCTGGATAAAGCAGGAATTTCCTCCTCCTGCTGTTTCAGTGAGAGCCCTTAAACAAAAAGATTTGTGTAGCTAAATGGACGTTTTCCATAGTTCTTCCTCTTGCTAATAGGAAGTGATAGCTTTGTTGTTGTTTTCTGATTAGAGGAGTTGGTATAAGATAATGGAAATAATTTTTATACTGTTGTACATAAAACTAAAGAGAATGATTAGGCTGTAAATTGACTGCTAAATCAATCTTGCAAATACAGCAGATTTCCATCTCTCTTTGAGGTGTGAGTTCCATTTGGGCTAATGATAGCTATCAGCACACTGCAAGACAGAGTGGGAGCCCCTTCATTCAGTTTGCATGGCTTGGCTTTTGTCAGGGAGACAACACTACAGACACCCGCGTAAATGATAGAACACCACCAACACATGTTCTGTGATATAACACAAATTCACACATTTTTCTAAAGCTGAGTGAATACATACTGTGTTATCTCTTGTTCAGTAAGGATAGTATGGTGTGTTTGCTAATTGATTCCTTATGCCGATTGCTTTAAGTCTAGCAAAGGGACATCATCACGTCCTCCTCCTTCTTTTCCTTCCTGCTTAAGAACAACTTCTGGCATTGTCATGCCTTTTTCAGTTGACTGGGAAGCACCTTTTGTTGTACTATTCTTGTCTTTCTTTACCTTAGTGATCACTTCTGTGTAAGAGATTTCTTCAGTGAAGGGCTCTGCTGCTGCAAGCTCAGAGTCGATGTGCACACTGGCTTCCTGGATCCCCTCCTGACCTTCGGCTCCTGTTCGTTCTTTATTTTTTTTATGGATCTTGAACGTCTCCTTTGTTGGGGCAGCTTGTGAAATGGTTTTCTTGATCCTTATGCCAGATTGTTTCAGTCTCTCTCCTGACTGCCTGATCCTCTCTCTCCTCTCAGGGGTCACTATTCTAGTTCGAAGCCTGTTTACCTTCTTGCCAAAATTTTGTCTCGTCTTTTGGATATTTTCCCTTGAAAATGCCTTCTTGATATCATCTATGCGCCTCATGCCTGATTTCTTGAACTGGGTTGCTTTACTTTCTTCGATATAATATTCTTCATCAGAAGACAGATCATCAGGTGGGAAGAAGTCATCCTCTATAGTTTCACCTGCTGTCCTCTCTTTGATAACAGAGAGAGATGACGGACACTCGGTTTCCTCCTGTGAATGAAAGCACAAAGTCATCTTCCAGCAAGTGTGTTTTAAAAGGATGGTGATTCAAGCATTTTGTTTGTTGGCTTGTAGCTAATTAATGCTAACTGAAATACAATGTTGTATGTGATCTACACAGAATACAAATGGCAGAAGAAACCTTTGCCAACTACTGTAAAGACATTATAACTGATTAAAGATTTCTTTTCAGTGTGGTTCTACCTGAAACTCATGAATGCCATGGTCCTATATGTACTGGCCCCTAATGGTTTTCAGAGCAAATTTGTCTAGTTCAATTTTTTTATTTTGAAGCTGATCTGCTTCTCAGAGATTGGACCTAGATCCATTATTCCTCACCAATAAAAGCAGACATCCTGTAGGCAAACCAGGCTCTTGTGCATGTGTCAGCTCTACGCTCTCCAAATGACTGCCTCGATACTAGTATCTTCAGTCCTTTACTGTCACCAAGACAATTGCACATTTTTGACTAACTGGAACTTAGCAAACATTTCTGTTGCTGCACAGAAGGAGATGAACCCCAACATACTAACTTACATGTGCTGGCTCCACAAGAGGACAAAGTCACTGAAGAACACTGCGATGTTGTTCAGTAAACCCAACTCCATAGAATTCACCCAGCACCTGCACAATTGCTAAGATGAACTTGACTTGTTCCATCTGGAGAAATATGAATGACTCAGAGCAAGCACTTCTATCTCCTGTTGTGAGTTTGGTGACCTGTTTGAGCATGCAGTATTAGATATTTATATTATACATATGATACTTATTAGCTGCATGCTTGGAAGTCATGACTAGCGTAGATATCTTAGCTCTAGAAATGTATGTAGCTCCTCCAAAGACAGACTGCTAGAGGCTCAAAACCTGAAGACACACAGAAGACTTTCAAAAGCTGTCCATGGTAAACAATTTACCAAGAATCACTTAGTGGTTAAGGATGTGCAAAAAAAAGGAAAAAAAAGCTTGTGGTAGTGGAAGGATTCAGTAGGCTGATTTATCTGAACAGGGAGAATCCTGAGAGAGTTGATCCCCTGATCTGAAGACTGCTGTCTGCATGGACATTATAAATTTGTGGCTCACTGTCAGTGAGTCACTTCTGTCTAGAAGTACTAGTGTATGCGGAGTAGAAAACCCGTAACTTGTAAGAGGTGTAGAAGATGGACAAAGCCAGCCCCTTCTTCCCTACTAGCTGTTTATGTGCACGTGCGTGTGCTCTTCTCCCAAGAGGAGCAGCCCTTTAGGATGCAGACAGGTACAACAGCTATATAAAACTTCTATAAGCTGTTTCCCATTAGTAGTAACTACTTCAGCTGATTTCTGAGGCATGACAGTGTCTGGGCTCTATCCTTAGTATTATTACCTTAATGTAGAAAATAGGAGAGATATTAGAAGTTGCGAACCCATGAAGAATGGTTCAGTCTTACTGAATATTTTGCTGTGAACTGATTTCCAGCCAAAATGATGTCTGTCATTTTTCACAGTGACTCATTAGTAGCAAGTCATGTTTAATGTTATTTTACAGAGTTCTAGCAATATGTAAAATAAAATACATTAAGCTATTTGGCAGATAAAGCCCACTTAAGAGTCTGTCATCATGCCTTGGCTTCATTAAAAATCCTCTAGTAAAATAGTTGTTAATGCTTAGAAAAAATAGGGATGAGTTATGTTGCATTGATTACAGCAGAATGTTATTCAACTCATCCGTCAAAATCAGCAAGAACAAAACTACAATGCTTTGCTAATAATCATCTTCATTAACATGTGCAAATAACATTAATTATATAAAGACTTCTATATATAAACATAATCCCTTCTTTTCTGAAAATGAACTAAAACACAGCTGGATAATAATTCCTCAAAGTTTGTAAATTATAGCCCACTCCTTCAGCTGAAATGGTAACAAAAATGTTTCCAGAATGACTATTCTGAAATTTCAATACATACGAAATGAATACAATATGGTGAATAGGGTATGCTGTTCATATGAAGATTACTTTTTAAAAAGAGAGAAAGCAGAGAAACTATTTTCTCTGCAATATTAAAGCTGTTTTCCTTTGGAAGAAGAACAAATTTTTCTGTACTTTTTGACAATTGTTTGCCAGTTTTTTATTGAATTTAGCTTTATAGTCTATCACCTAAAGAACAGTGCACTTTAACTTTCATATACGTGTGTTAGAATTAAGACTTATGAATAATAAAGTGTGAGATGAAGGCCTTGTAGACAAGACACAGAAACTAGAGCAGCACGTCATGAGGAACATTTTTCATTCTGCTACAGACTCTGAGAATGATCTTTGCCAAATCTCGGATTTTCTCTTTTTCCTTGGTTTCTGCACACATCTTGCAGAATCAAATGTAGCAAGACTAAAAATCAGTGTGAGTTTCTAGCTCCTTTCAAGGTTTCTCGATGGAAGATGTTACCAAAGTGGAAAGTATTAGTAAAACTGGCTAGCATGTTGGGGGTGGGGGGTTAATAATAAAAATACAGTGATTTAGGCTCAGTAGGAGAGCTTTCTCATCTGCTTCCTTTCTCTCTCCTGCCCGTCCCCATTTCTTCTTATCACTAGATATCACTGGGGTAGAGAGAAAGTAGGAGCTCATCATTCCTAAAGCAGGAGTGATAAGTTTTAGCACCAGCTGGGAAATTGATGAGGTCAAAGTATATAGCTACCAGCTCATTTATAGACTCACTAAAAGCAAAGACAAAACACCTACTGATTTCAGTTGCACAGGACAAAGCCCTAAACCATGTGACAGCTTTCTTTTTGGCTTGAAAGCAGATGAGACTGGAAATAGCAGGCCTGGGCAGCCCAATCTTAGAGGACGGTGAGAAGGAGTTGAGCAATTGCTGATGCTACTTGCAAGCTTTTAGTTAGAATCCTACTTAAGCATTTTGCTAGGAAGGACTTGTATCTGCCACCACTACCTCATGGGAGGTAAGGAAGGATCTTCAAGCTAAATTTGTAAGTGCTCAAATAAAATGAAGACAGGAGATTATTTCACAGTAAAAGATGATACCAAACAGTCAGGTATGTTTAACCTGAGGAAACCTCTTGAGGAAAGAGGAGTGCAGTCATATGGTCCCTCTATTGGTTAACCCAAAGGACGTGTGCTCTGCTTGCCCACGTACTGGCAAAAATCAGACACACGTATGCCAGAACCAGAAACAAGAAACAAATCTGAGGAAGCTGATCATTCTTATTCCCTTTCATCAATCCTCCTAGATGGAGCACCTGCAGAGGGTGCACCCTGCAGAGGGTGCTCTCACTGGTCCTGGTATGCTCGTTGGCCATAATCTGAAAAGTTAGTCCACCACTGAACAAACTGAAAATAGACCTAAACCTTTCAAAACAAAACAATTTTTTTTCCTTCTCCTCCAAGAAAAAAGTTGGGAAATAGTCATGTAAGTGGTTGATTTGGAAGTTGTCTTGGTTTTGTACGAAAAGTGTAGCATATATGCTCACATTACACAGCTCCCACCTTCTCACCCTTACATGACCTCTCCACCAATTTTCCACCATTTGAGAAGGGAGTTGAGCTCAGACATGAAGAAATAAGCTCTCTGCTGAGGAGCCCAGAGTGTTGCGAGTCTTTCCATCTGTCCTCCTAGCTGACGTCTGTCCTGAGCAAACACGCCAGTGGCTCAAGAACCTTGCTCGTAGATCCGGACCCGACATTTTCGGCAGGTGACAGGGGTGCTGAGAAGAGGCAGGGTGTGTTATGAATGGGTGTAGGAGGGGAGAGGGGAAAAAGGAGTCAGATTAGATGTTGTGTTGTTGAAACTGAAAATATTTTGGAAAAATGCATGTATTGGAGTTCTCGAAGGAGAAAGGCTTCAGATTCTGTGGCAGCAGAGGAAGGACTGACGCACTGGTTGCAGTGATAAGGGGAAAGCCTGGAGACCTTTGCAGTTCAGCCAGGCAGGGAGAGGAATACAGAGGCCACAAAGCCTTAAGGTTAGTTAGATCCACTGCTTGAGAAACAACTTTAACAAACAAAACTTAAAGGTATAACATTGTAACAGAACGATCATACAATTAAGGAGTAGCTGGTGATGCCCCTGGCACAGTAAGTTTGCTAAGTATTTTAAACCTAAACTTCAGCTTTTCCTAGTTTTTGAGTATTTAACTTCTCAAATATGTGTAGCCAAAGAAGTTTGAGTTTTTAAGGGCCTGGCTGAATACAAAGTAAATACACGAGTAAACCTCAGCTTTTGTGAAGAAGGCCAGCATGACATTGATTTGAATGGATGGCTCCAGGGACAGTGAATATTGAAATCCAGATGTTTCTAACACTGGCTTCCAAAGAAAGTATGACTCCATCATTGCCATTTATGCCTTCTGCTCCCATTTCAATGTAATTCACAATTAAAAAATTTTCAAAGGGACATAGTCTGTGTCCTTCACACACTCCTTTTGCTCTGCAAACTTTTTATTGGCTGCCAAAATTCTGGCTGCCTCTGCACCCACGCGTGAGGGTGCTGACCAGCTTGCAGGCACTACTGGCATCTCCTGATCTCAGGGAAGGGATCACAGCAGTAGCATTTTTCTCCCATAGGATATGACAAGACATTTATGAAGGAAGGCTAACACACCTGCTCCTTTATGCAAAGCACAAGGTGCTCACTCTTTTTCACCTCACAGGAATCTTAAAAAACAGTAGGTAAATAGCCTTAAATGTGGCAATGCCCCTAATAAATGTTATGAGACTCTTGGGGTGGTGATGCTCAGATAATTGAAAACTTCAGGGGAAAAGAGACTGTCTCAAAAGGTGCCTCCGTGATAACCCTGCCTGCACAGTCTGGGCAGGGAGAGAAGGGAAATGGCAGAGCAAATTGTTTAATGATGTCTCAAGTATTTTGCTGCAGTTGTGTCCTGGCAAAGATCAGTTCAGCTCTAATAACACCTTTCTCGCTTACTGCTGAACTAAGGAGCAAATAAGCCAAAGGGGCTCCTGGAAGAGGAATGTCATGCCTTCAGTGAGGTCAGTGAGGCTGTGCAAAGGAGAAAGGGTTA